AATAAAACTTTTTCACTGTGAAGTACCAAGACTGGCTGTTATAGAAGATGAGCCTCTGAAAGCCCTTAAGTTCATACACTGTTAATTTAGGGAGGGTAATCGCAAGAGTGCGGAAGGGGGAATTACCCTAACTGATGTTTAGCTTAGTTTTCACTATAGCTTTAATCTCGAATTTTTGCAATTATGATGAGAAATATTTCCAAACACTTCATGAAAGTGAGTTGGGGATTATATGTAATTCTAATAATGACTAAGGAAAGCATATTTTCTTATTGAGCTCTATTGATACCATGAATTTCCTTATCTGTGTATTTTATCTAGTGAGAAATACACTTTTATGATGTTGATTAATTGACTGACTATCTGTGATTCAAAAGTTCTAGCCTTTTTTTGGTTGAACTTTCAGGCTTTCCTAACTGTACAATTAATATAACTTAACACAGCTAGCAAACTCAGCTCTTAGTGAATCCTCTCACTTGTTCACCTCTACCTATATTGGACTGTTTAAATCATCACCATTTTCTGTATTATAAACGTATAGTATATATTGTACTACAAAAATTGTCTGTCACTATATCCACATTAACTTGATTTGTCCAGTTTGTGGCATCATTCAAAATAAATGAAAAGGTCACGGTTAAAGTTTTCCGTTATTTCACAAACACACAAAAATTGCCTCTAGAACCTCCACTAAAAAATATTCACATTCTCCTTCAAGAAAATTGACCAGATGAGATTACTTAAAAGCTGGGCTTTTTCTTCCTTCCTTCCTTATTTTTCTCATATTCTGTATTAAGAGAAAAATCCATTATTACTGATAGTTGCCATATTAAGTTGAACCTTAGAGAGTTTGCCTTATTTAAAGCTTCTTTTTCTTGATCATGTCAGATGAGCAGGAAAAGAATATAATTGTTTTAAATGTTATTCATTTAGACAAGGTCCTGCACAAATACCAAAATATATTTATTTACTTTCTGTATTTGAATGCCACACAATCCCCTGCAAGATATTCTTGTTTTTTGTAGCCTTCAGTTTGCTGTTTCTTGTCTGGAAAGCTGCTGTTAGTTTTCCATTAGTTCATTGGAAATGATCAAATCTACTTAGCTTAGTTTATCCATGAATATATGTCATTTGGTTTACTTGAAACTTGGCAACTAAAAGTATGAAGGAATAACAATCCTAAACAAGGATTTTTAGTTTTTGTTGAACATGGCTTAATTCACACATAATGGACGGATTCACACACAGAAACCTATCAGCCACATTATAGCTTAACTAGGTCCATATGTAAAGCAATATGAAGCAGCAACTCATCCATAAATGATTGTTGGAGATACAAAAACAAACATATTAGCAGCTAAAAGTAATTTTTTTTAAGCATATGGGAAAAACTTCTTTCACAGCCCTCAATAATAAAGGAGCGTTAAGTAGAAATTCTAAACATTTTGTCATTTATTTATGCTAGTCTTTCTCAAGCTGATGCCCTCTTGATGTATCTGGGACTACAAATTCCAGAACGGCTGGAAGCTGTTTTCTGAACACATCTGCTAGGCATCATTTTAGAGAAGGCTGGTTTATATTATCACTACTAGCCCAATCTGTGCATGTTTGGACTTAAGCTTGTACTTACTAAGCTCAATTTTTGTTAATTCCACATAAACATATTTGGAAAGAATAAATCCAAATTAAATTGCTCTGATTTACCAAATTCTTGATTACCTTCTGATCCACCTAAGCTTCTGACAGCTATTTAAATTTGAGAAAAAGGCATCAACAACTTTAGAATTTAGATCTTGTTTTATGTTACATACTTAGATCAGTTTTATGTATTTGTTTCCTATACATACCTTTTTTTAAATTCTTGGGAACTGTAGTTTGTGATGTATTGATATTTCTCTATAAGAAATACCCATTTCCCCTTAAGAAATATAAGAACAAAGAGTTGTTGAACTGTGTTAGAATCTAACACATTAAAATTTACATATATTAAATTAAGTTTGTTTTATATTATATAATTAATATTATATATTACAATATTATTATATTGTATTTATTATATTTATTATATTATATTATATAGCAAAAGGGTCCATTTAAAAAAAACTAGTTGTAATTCAAGAAGATATATATGCCATATACTCACCAGAAGCATTTACAGGGAATTCTTAAGTTATGATCATAATTGAGCCCCTCAATTATGGTTGTATATTGTGACATTCGTAAAGTGTGTCACTATGTGACTGAACCCATTTTATAACTTTTTGCAGTGGTCATTAAATACTGCTGTATTTAGGCGTAAATACTGGTTTTTTTGCAAAAATGCCTTATCATCATGTTGGACACAGTGCAAACTGTCATAAATGTGGAGTGGTTATCCAAACAAGTAGTCACATGGCTGCGGGGGCGGGGGGAGGATGATGACTGTTTTATAAATCATCTATGTCAAAACTGAACAGCCCTCTTTCAACAGAGGAAAAGGGGGTTCCACCACAAAAGCGCGTAGGACAAAATCGCGCTCGACAAAAGCGCGCTGTGACGTCATCACAGCGCGACGAA